TAACTTACATCGACTTAAGCGGTAGTTTAGACAAGCCCTGAATCTGTGGAACTTCAGGATAAAATTAAAGATTAGCTCTTCCCTCAGGATTTTGAGATGGGGATGGACTAGGAGGGGTAGTGAGGCAATGTGGCTAATATATTGTTCAATCCTGCATGGTTGAATAGATGAGAAGTCATTTATTTTGGTACTACTTTAATTTTTTCCCTCAACTCATTTATTAATGTATTTAACTAAAGTGAGTTTAGTGAACGTGCTTCTAGAACAATTCCTAGCTAGGTCCTTTATAAACTGAAACACGTACATAAAACAGGAGGGAAGTGTAACTTTCACTAGTAACAAATACAATTTTTGTTTGTTTGTTTTTCTTCAATCCAGGCTGGAGTTCAAGCCTTTGTTTCTGTTACAGAGCAGCAAAGTGAATTTGAGGAGGTTCTTGATCTAGCAGAAAGGTTTGTTATTTCACTGCATGCTTTGTGTCAGTGCAAAGACATCTTTTAGATCAAAGAAATAACACCCTACTTAACACTTGCCATAGCACTTGTCATATCTAGATCTCCAGATTCTGGACAGAGGTGAATGGGTCTCATTATCCTCGCTTTACTGATAGAAAAACTGAAACACAGAGAGATTAATTGAATTGGCCATGATCGTGCTGTTGGCCCTGGTTCTCCACTGCCTCGGGCTCTGCACAGTCATTTACATCTGTGCATAGTCAGTGTAAATCTACTGTTCTGATCTGGTAGCATTTCACACCCACTTGGTGCAGGTGTAAATGACAACACAGGGAGCTAGGGTAGCGGGGAATCAGGGCTAGTGATTCCATCTCAGAGCCAAGGATAAAACCCATGCCCACGAACTCGCAGTCCTGTGCCTTAGCAACTGGGTTATAGGGATCTCTCTGCATAAGGTCTTGGGAATGGCGTTCTTAGAATCAAGTGCAACTTTTGTGCATCTCATTTAAAAAAGAATAGATTACAGGGTGAGTACTGGGGAAGGCAATGAGACAGAATCGTGGTCTGCTGACAAATATGTAAACATGTTTAGCCTGAAAAAGAAGAAACAAAGAGGTGATATTGTAATGGTCTTCAGGTGTATGGAGGATGTGGGAGATAACCCCTTCATCCCTCCAAGGTAGCAGCTTGTTTTGAAGTTGTAACATTTGGGCTAGATATTATGATGGTGTCATCACATAGAGTTGCTGAAGTGTGGAATATCAGCCATATGATGAGTGAGGTGATGGCATAAAGGAGTTTAAGGCAAAGTTGACTCTATACTTGAAATTAAGAATATACTGAACAGGGCTTTCCCTGGGAGCTACACACATGCATATAAGAGCAGGATTTTGCCTTTAATTGGAGGGGTACATGCTGAATAGCAAGCTGTTTCTGTTGTAAGGCAGGGGAATGGACCCTATATCTTACTGACGTGAGAACCTAAAATCAAGATACATTTATTCTTCCACGAGGGGAAGTAACATTCTCTCCTCTTCTAAGGGAGAATGGACTGCAATATGGCCTCTTTAAACAAGGCTATTGCATACAAATAGCCTGAGGGTTGTTTTTGACTTACCACGGCAGAAAGCTGGAGAACTGGAACAGGCTAACAAAGAGTATATTTTGCTTTAAAAATAGTGTGTGTGCATGTGTGTGTGGGAGAGAGAGAGAGAGATGTTGACTTTACAGGCAATTGTAGGCAAAGGGTGAGGTATTTTTCTTTGTTTTTATAAAAAAGCAAAATGTAAAACATGGAAATATCAAGAGATCAAATATTCATTGTTAAACATTATTGATCACCTGCATATGTGTGAATTGAGTGTGTAAAGGAGCAGCCCTGGAGACATCCATTTCTCCTAAGAATGGGCAAAGCATGGGGGTGGCATTGTAGATGCCCTTATGCTGCCTCACCAAAGTGCCTCAGCTCCACCTTGTCTACACACACAAGTTGTACCATTCTGATTATACTGCTATAGTCAAAGTGGTGCAGTCCCACGAGGGTGGATGTATTTGTGTCAGTATGAAGGAGCTTTATACCACTATAGCTGTTCTCATACATGAAGGGGAGTAAGCGCTACTGGTGTAAGAAACTTTTATATCATTGTAAATGTGTCCACAGTAGGGGTTGTCCTGGCATAATGGTATCACTAACTAATCACACTCCTAACTCACATAGTTATACCAGTACAAAAATGTGTGTAGACAGGCCTTTGAGAGACCATCTCTAGTGGTGAAAGGGTATTTCAGTCTTCCCAATCTGTTCAGTCCTTGGTGTTTCTGCTAAGAATGACAACTCAGTGCTGATTGTGATGTGTGTTTCCCTGAGTGAGGACACCTCTCTGCTAGAAACTTGGCTGTAACCACTAACTTATTGCCCACAGGCCATCAAACAGTCACTGGATGTTACTGTCACTGCTGAGCTAGATGTTTTAATCCCATTGACATGTTTTCCCCCTGCTAAAGGTATCCAGAGTCTGTCATGGCATGTTTTGGGATTCATCCGATTCAGGGCAGTGCAGATGGACATCGCAGTGTTACTGTTCAGGTGACTTGCCTAGCTTCCCATGCCTTTATTTTGCTAAATCAAATGAATTTCTTCATGTGGGTATTATTTGTAACTCCACTTATGTAGCTCTTCAAGTCTCTGGGGCAGAAATCTGCCATGGTAGCAGCTGTGTCTACAGCTGTCACATGGGTGAATATGGACACTTCTCTTCTGTGCCCAACTTTAATAAAGATAATGTAATTATCACCAATTTATTGGAAAAAAAACTGGCTAGTGTGTATGTCTAATGCTGCTCTCTGTTGGACGGTATCAGATCTGCTCATCTGTGCATCATAGGCCCTATTTAGTTAACAGCTGGAGGGAACTCTCCTTTAAGTAGTAAGGGTCTGTGCTTTCAGAGCAGGAAGGTCTGAGTTCCTTCCCTGCGAAGTTTGGAGTGCCCTTGCTGTGCAACGTAGTGACAGCTATGAAGTTGTGACTGGCCACAAAGTTATTACATTTTTTTTGTTTTGCCATTTTTGGAGATGAAGCAACAAGTAAGAAAATGAGCAAATATGGTGAGATCTCGGAAATAAGTTAGGTGCAGGACTTGAAGCAGATGATAAAAGCTGTTTAAGGAGACTTCAAGCAAGGACACTTTTTTTTTTTTAAATGATTTTATCCTGTTTTCCTGCCTTGTTGCATAACTTAGTACGGCTAAGATTTTGTCATGGAGGTCACGGAAGTCACTGAATCTGTGACTTCCAGAGATCTCCATGACATTTTCCACTTCAGCCCTGGGGCAGGCACCCCTACAGCTCCAAGGCACTGGGCAGTGGGGAGAACCCTGGAGCCCCAGGAGGGTGCTGGACCCTCCTTCGTCCCCATTTTGTCAGTTATTTTTAGTAAAAGTCAGGGACAGGTCATGGGCAATAAACAAAACTCCACAGAAGCCCGTGACCTGCCTGTGACTTTTACTAAAAATAACTGTGACAAAAGTTTAGCCTTATGCATAAGCCATCACCCCAGCACCTTGTCAATAGACATAAAGGCAGTTCCTTCACTGAGCTCCAGAGGGTGCTGTGTGATCATGATGGTCATAGTTCCCTTGTGCAGTGTAGTCTTAGCCATGTCGGTCACAAAGGTGCTGTAGTGCGCAGTGTGTCCACACGGGACGTTACCTTGGAGCATTCAGGGTGGATTTGGTTTAAATCACTAGTCGGGAAGACTCGATTTAATCATGGATGTCTACATAAAAGTGCATTCTTGTTGTTATAACCTTAATACATATTCTTCTCAACTCAGAGATAGATGTAGGTTTCATTTTTAGAAGGTACACACTATACATTTTTAAAACAGTGATTTATTTTGAAAACTTTTCAGATTAGTTTTACAGCTATATCAGAAAATGAATGATTGTTTGGTTCTTTAATTTACCAAAGGTAATTGAAGCAGATATTTATGAAGTCATTGGGAGGTGAACGATCTCCAATTCAACAGGTTAATCATTAATATTTGGAGGATTTTCTTGCCATGCTCTCTTAGGAGAAGAACATCACCAGACAGACATTTAAATTGTTTTATTAAACTAAAACAACAATGTTAAGTATTCTGGATTTTTTTTCTTCAACAGCAAACATATAATATTTTAACAAAACAAGCATATGTCCCTCGCTTCTCACATTTATCTCCAGACTTCTTCTCCTTGTCCAGATCTATTCCGCCCCCAACAATCTTCTATTCATTGAACTTTTTGAAATTTTGCACTTTTAGAGAGAGGTAAGGGATTGACTCTGTGTCCACAAATTTGCAGAGGGACAATAGGGTCGAGGTCTATTATTTCTCACCTCTATACATTATTTATTTATTTATTTATTTAAAAACATTTTTGCTGTTAACAAGCTTGTTACCTCTAGAGACACAAATCCACAGTTTGAGAACTGCAAAACTAAGCATCTCTGATGGTATCTTCTAGACTGAGCACTGAGTCCCATTGGGTAGATAGAAAGATTAACCTAAATAATCTATACAGAAGCCTGTGGAACCCCATAAGATTGGGTCCCTAATCCATGAACTATTGGAACTCATTTACAAAACTTTTCTTAAACATTATGTGAATATATTGTCTCACACTATAGAATTAGAATTTATAATCCCTATTCCATGATGAGATATCTTTGAGCTATAATGTATCTTAATTAAAAGTATCTTTAGATATGCTTTTGGGGGAAAAGAACTGTTATAGAAAATCAGATTTTTTAAAAAAAAATCATTGATTTTTATCCACCCTGGTAAATTCACACCCGAGCTTACACGCACTAAGTTCCATGTAGACAAGCCCTATGTGATAACAATGATGCCTTTTATTTATATAGCTGCGTTTGCACTTTGCAGACTGTGGCCTTGACTAATCTCTGCTGGCCCATGGGATGCAAATTGCAGCAGGAGAGGTTACATACTGGGGCATTCATCCTCAAGGGAGGACCTGTGCTATTCCCACTGCTGTCCCTGTTGGGGAGTCCATCAGTGGAGCAAGGCAGCTTTACACTTCCCCCAGGACTCCACAGGAGCCCTGCCATCTGAGGCTGCCTTGAAGATATGCTGAATCAACACATCTTCTGGCCATTATGGCCAAGCCCCATCCCAAGCCTGTACTCTCCACAGTAGTGAGGCTGGCTCTGAGCAGCCCAGCAGAATGATTGGGCTTTCTTTTCATTTTTAATTATAGTCATATTTAAAGAATGGGTACTTAAAACATTCAGTAGCTTTTAGACAATTCAGTATATAATTTTAATACCCGCCTTATACTGCTGTCCTCACCACAACTAATGCCTGTTTTTGCAATTTCATTAACATGCCAGGACCTCTTTTACCCCACTGTTATTTTAACAAAGCATGTGAGCTGTAGCTGGTTTATTACAGGACTTGGAACCTGCCCTTCCATTCTTTGAGAAGCACAAAGATAAGCTGGTGGCTATTGGAGAGGTAGAGTGCTTTATTTGATTTCATTAGTATCGGGGTTTTCTTGACTCAGCCATTGCTCTGGTAGGCCTGTGCAATATATTTCAATCTGCGGTTTATGGTGCTTACTTTTCTTTTTATAGACAGAAATCATATTTGCTGAGATTAAAAAAAAAACAAAAAACCCTAACTCCTCTCTTGGTGTGGGACTAGAATCAGGCCCCAGATGATCATTTTATGAATAACTATTGGAGACGGGTCACACAGATATGCTAGAATCCTGCAGCTAGGACAGTAGTAGGGAGACTAGATGAGCTGCTATAGATTTTTCCTAGCAAAGCATTTTTATGTTATCTTATATATAATATAGTTTATTCTGGATCCATGTACTACTGTACCCCCAGGTACAATACCTTATATAGAGATTGTAGTGCCTTCTAATCTTGTCTCAGTTATAGTGGCGTCTCATAGTAGCCTACAGCAGGGGTTCTCAAACTGGGGGTCGGGACCCCTCAGGGGATCGCAAGGTTATTACATGGGGGGTCGTGAGCTGTCAGCCCTCACCCCAGACCCTGCTTTGCATCCAGCATTTATAATGGTGTTAAATATATTTAAAAGTGTTTTTAATTTATAAGGGGGGGTCGCATTCAGAGGCTTGCTATGTGAGAGGGGTCACCAGTACAAAAGTTTGAGAATCGCTGGCCTACAGCATTTGAAGTTTAATGTACTGAAAGCAATAATCCTCCATGCATTTTGAAGTTTACTTAAGATTTCACAAACTCTATCATCCCCTAACTGATTCTCATTGCAGATCGGTCTAGACTTCACTCCATGGTTTGTGTCCACATCCCAACAACGTGAGGAGCAGCAAAAGGTCTTTGCGTTACAGCTGGATATAGCTAAACAACTAGACCTGCCAGTGTGAGTCAGAATCCCTCCAAGCAGAGTCTTCCTCATATATCAAATCTTAACTAAGCTCAGCATCTGTTTCCTAAGTCACAGCTCCTGGAGTGCAGGAGGGGTGGTAAAGCATATTAATAATGTTTTGACTAAAAATAATCCAAATATTCAATGGTTTAAGGTTAAAAAATAACAATAATAAAAGGCGGCTTATATCTGGGAAGCCTGAGCCTGTATCAAGAGATTAGGGTTGATAAATGTTCCTCTCTAACTGAGTCATCATTAAAATTGTGGGAGACTTGCTGGCATTTCTTCTGAAAGAGGAGTTGTTGAAAGGGGGTGTATTTTCCATCTGTACATGTTTCATCTTTTGGATAAGAACTGAGCTATGCTCCCCAAATAAAACTTCAACGGGGGTTAGACTTGTATTATTTCAAGGCATCATTTTATGTCGCACTTCTGCACAAATGAAGTCAGAGGACGACATTCTGACCCCTTGAAATGAATGGCAAAACTCCCCCGCAATTCATTAGGGCCAGGATTTCAACCAGAGAGAGATTTGCCACAGACTTCAGTGAGAGCAGGATTAGGCACATGCACCCACCACAGCAGAAAGAGACCCTCTTATCTAAACTCCTTGTTGTCCAAATTGAGGTTTCCTCCCTCTGTGTATGGCATTTACATCGCAAAACTCGCCCCCTTAACCAGAGCATTTATTGGAATAACTTCTATGGCTCAGATTCTGATCTCTGTTATGCAGGTAAAACTCCAGGAGTTACACTGGCATAAATGAAATCAGCATCTCTCCCAAAACTCTCTATTCCACTAGATAGGTGGTTTTCCACTGTATTTGGTAAGTGAACGTTTAGGGGGGAAATAAGAGTATTATAAAAATAAACTGAGATCTTAATTTGATGCTATCGAGTTCAGCATCAGGAAACAGGAAGACAAAGACCGTAATACTTTATTCTCTCCTCCCTACATGTGTAACTCTCTCTTAACTATCAACAGGTATTCAGCATGCCAACTGGTTGTGCTTGACCCCCTTGCAGCTGACTTAGCAGATAAAAGGGGGCATGGCTGGAGAAAGGAGTGGGGAGAGAAGCTAGAATGCCTCGGTGCCATGCTTATCCTGGACTACTGTTTTTTGCCCCTTATAGCTTTTCAGCTTAGGGATAATGGCCTGGACAGAGCAGCACCAGCACTGGGGCAGTGCAAAGGAGAACTTTAAACCACCTGTATCCCTCACCTCATTTTGCCCCAAAATGTTAGGAACTTTAAAAAGTGGGGATGGAGAATAAAATCTCTTAGTTTGTAATTCTTTCTTTGTTTCAATGAAAGTAACTTTGGCGTGGCAGGGTGCTGTGTTTATTTTCTCCTAGTGATTTCCAGAACAAATGTGTTCCGTTTACCAGTGAAAAGATGTTGGGTTTTTTTCCTAATTGCCAGCCCTCAGAGTCAACCCCTGACTTGAAAACCAAGCTGGGTTCTTTTCTTCTTTGCATCATCCCCAGTAATAAAAGTTCTGCAGGTCACACGATGCCCTCGGTGACTGTGCAGTGTCATTGTCTTCATTCAGTTTATGTCGGTGAAACTCGTTGGTACTAAGTAAACAATTCTGATGATGATGCAGTAGTAGGAAAGGAATCCAGCTCGCTCTCTCTTAGCTGTGTTGGCTCTGCATGGCAAACAAGAGTAACACCTTACTTTTGACACTAAATTCAGCAGATCTAACTCTAAATACACACGAGGAGCAGATCTAATGAGGAAGAAGGTGCCATTTTTCTGTTGTTGCTTTTTCAGAATAGAACCAAATCTCTTCACTTTGCCAGCAATGCCAGTTGTAACCCTTGTTTTCCTGAACAGTAATGTTTTCTCCTTAATAGATATCTTATTTTCTAAAAAGAAATCACTTTATATTAAAAAAAAAAACCACCAGTGTTTCTCTGCTTCTCTAAAGTATGTGTTTTGTAATGAACAGAAACGTTCATTCTCGTTCGGCTGGGAGACAAACTATTGCTTTTCTTAAGGAGCAAGGTAAGTCTCACTATCCATTCTGATCAAACCCTTAGAACCAGTACTGATGATTGTTGCAAGAAGAAATCCTTAACTGCTCTCTGGGCCTGTTTCTGCTCTTACACAAGTTATACGCTGGTGTACAGTAATTCAATTGATTTACCACTGTAACTGAGAAGAAAATTGAGTCCTTTACCTCAGTTTATCTGTTTGTAAAACGGAGCTAATAATGTTTCCCTACCTCACGTTTGGGTCATAGAACTCCATTCATTAAAGTCTGGAAACTATGAGTGGAAGATGCTCTAGAGCTGCCAAGTTTACGTATTATGCTCAAGGAGTGACAGTTTCTGCAGAGTGGAAAACCTCTGATGAAACATAGAATTGTTTCTTTTTTTTATTGTAACTTTTTTTGGGAGTGAGGAGGGAAGGAGTGAAGCAAAGCAACCTCTGTCAGCATCAACTTCCACCACACTCTTTTGAACAGAAGCAAGAAGAGTACGGTTTCCAGATAGATTTATTTCTCTTTATGATTTGTTTCCAGCAGATCTGTAGATTGAAAATTGGCCTATTTTGTGAAGAAAGATACAATTAAAATATGTTTAAAATATTTACTTATCTACATCTCTGTGCATATTACAAACACAATTAGTGACAGCAGGACAGAAATAAGCTGCTGGGGGTCAGAAAGGCTGCGGAGGTAGGTAATCGACTGTGGAGCCTTTCACCACTAATTACAGGCTCCAGTCTGGCCCCAGCAGATGCCAACTGAAAATTGTTACCACTGACAGCTCTCTGGTGCTGATATGAAGTGAATTTGGTGGTCTTGGTCTGGTTCCCAGTGGATACATGGGAATCAGAGTCTGCACCTTTGTTGGTAGGCCTAGCAGAGAGGTCACAGGAGGAATCAATTATGTTCTCACTTCTCAGGGAGGGATCCTACAAAGCCAAGGTTGATGCACATTTTGCTTGTGGATAAATAAAGGACTTCAGGACTGTTTAATCTTTACCGTGGTGCTGTTAAACTCTTGCAGCCTGGTTTTAGTGTCTTTAGGGTTTTTTGGGTTTCTTCTATGTGGTGCAGGTATTCGGAACGCACTGCTTCATAACTTTGCTGGCAGGCCCTCAGTTGCCCTGGAAGGAGTACAAGCTGGCTTTTGTTTTTCTTTTCCTCCAGCTGTCACAAGGAATGATCAGGTAAGTCCCTGGAAAGTTCACAGAATCTGCTTCAGCATAGTTTTAATTGGACTGCACGAGAACTGACGTTCTGCATTGGCTCAGATATTGGGAGATAGAATTTGGGCGGGTAGGGTGAGGCAGAGGGCAAGAATGACCTGAATTCTCATGCCCACCAAGGCCTCGTTATGCCACTCTGGCAGTAAATTGCCTTTGTATATTTATACCCACTTTAGGGCACATTTACTCCTCCAGAGCAATGTAGATGGGCCTTAGTGTAAAAGAGAATCGGGCCCAACGTGTGTAATAGGCACATGCGATACCCATACTTCCTAAGAGACACTTTCTCTATTATATATATCACAGCAGAATTAAAGACAAATGAAGAATGTCAGGTCTGTGCTCCAGGAAGCTTACAGTCTAAATCACACATAGCTCAGCAAGGGATGGGGGGAGGAACATACGTGGCCTTTTAGTTCTTGTTGGGGTTTTTTAAATGAGGAGTAATTAACTTACTATATTGCCGTGTGGAGCAATGATGGGGCTACAGCTAGAGTAGAACACTTAGCTGGAGAATGATGGTTGGGACATGATGATGGAGCTAGAGCTGGTGTTCGGGGTTAATGGCATTAATAATCTTTACACATTGATGTTTTAAATCCCTGACCTTTGGGTTTGGTTAACTAACTGCTGTGAGTTTGGAAGAGGGGTTAGAATAAGGAGGAGAGCGATGTGGCGTGGTGCACGGACTGGGTCAAGGATGGAGGGTGGCAAGAAAAAATGTGCAAAGCTGCTTCTGCAAGAAGGACACAAAGCCGATTCCCCTCTGGCTTACATGGATGTAAATCAGGAGTGAGTCCACTGAAACCAGTGAAGGTGCATGAGTGTGCAGCCAGTGTAAGGGAGATCATAATCTGGCCCAAAGGCAGAATCACCGTGAACTAAATTGGTCGTGGTATTGTTTGTGTTGCAGTAATGCTCCTAAGCACCAGTTAGAGGCTTTGCTGTGCTAGGTGTAACGCCGACAGACTCTGGTCGTCAATGGGCGGGATCGAACTTGGGGCCTCTGGAGCTTAGTGCATGAGCCACTACCTCATGAGCTAAAAGCCAACTTGCTGTTAGCTAAGGCTATAGAGCAGACTCATTTTATCTCTCTCTGTCTAAGTGGTCTCGGTGCCACTAGATGGGACAGAACACCACACCCAGAAGGTGTGTGGGTTACTTAAGCGCTATACAAATACATAGGGGGAGACAGTCCCTGCTGCCAGGAGTTTTACAATCAAAGGCCTTGTCTGTAGCACTCGTTACTAAGATCAGTTGAACTCTACTACACCTGCACTAGGTGTCAAGCCTGGAGGGAGGAATTAAAAGGCCTGAACATGGCTCAGTTGGGGACTGACTAGGAAGGAGAGCAGATCAGCAGGAGAAGGCTGGCCTGCTGGATCCTCTGAGCCTGGGACTAACTGGGGAAAAGGAACTAGCTGAAGGAGAAGGTGGCTGAGGCCCTGCAGTGGGCCTAAGCTACAAATCCAGCTCCAGAAAGGAGAGCTGGGGGAACTCCTGTCATAAGGAGGGAAATGAGAAGGACTGTTTAGCAGCAGCTGGGCTGTATTTCACAGGCTGGGAGCAACTTTGAGGAAGCTCCTTAGTAGCTAGCTGGGAAGAAGCTGTGGGGAGCCACAAACTCATGGCGGTGTTCCCAGATCTATGGAAGGTGTTGACAAGTAGGGAAAGATTGGGGCAACCCAGGGTAGTGGTGAGGGATTGAACGACAAGCCCTTAACCACTTAAACAGGGTCCCTGGGCTGGAAACCAGAGGAGAGGCTGGATTCCCCTACCTCTCCCCCAGACCTGGCATAGAGGCCACGAGACTTTGTGCTTTCCTGTTTTGAGGGACTATTGGTTTACTCCAGAAGGGGTGGGAGTCTAGGTGACTCAGCTGGAGGGTTGAGTTGCAAGAAGAAGCAGACTACTGCAGAACCAGACTGGTTGTCAGCTGGGGCCATTGAAGCATGAGAGCCTGCTACACCCTGCCCTGCCACCGGGGTGCCAGCTGGTGACTTAGGTGCTTACAGCACTTAAGTCATTTCTTGTGAGAATGAGTTAGGTGCCTGCCTCGATCCATGCAAAACCTGGGGCACTCCCAGGCTCACCTTATAACTTTTAGCCCAGTGGTTAAAGCACCCACTTGGATTGTGGCAGACCTGGGTTCAATTCCCTCCTCTGCTAGAGGGGAGAAAGGATTTGAACAGAGGTTGCCCCACCTCTCAGGAGAGTGCTCTAACCCCTGAACTATGGGATAGTCTGATGTGCACCTCCCACAATGTCCCTGAGTTTAGGTGCCCACAGTGTGTGGTGGGAGTTTTGTGAAGCATAAAACTGAGACTGAGGTGCCTACATCGGGGGATTAGGTGCCTATGTACCTTTGTGGATCTGGGTCTAAGAGCATAGAGCCCATGGGGAGGCGGAGCGGGGCAGACCCTGAAGGTCAGGAAGTAGGGTATGAATGTGATCCTATCTAAAGAATCTCAAACTTTGGAGTGGAGGAGGCTCTTTGCAGGTTGTCGTCTAGGGGCCTCATTCTGAACTCACTTAAACTGATTCTACCTCAGAGACACTCCAGTGGAGTTACTCTTGACACAAGAAGGTGTGACTGAGACATGCCAAGTACATAAGACAGGATTTGAGGTTCATTCCCCTCCCCGCATACACCTAGTACAGCAGCAGTAAAGCAGTTAATCTTTCATTTCTGTACGATGGGGTTTCCAAATCCCTTCCTGTTCATACGCAGGCCTGCTACGTAGTGCCAGCTGAGTTTATCCTTGTCCCTTGCTGCAGAGACAGCACACCTAGCTACTTGGTGAGAGGAGAGTGCCTTGACTTGCTCACAACCATGATTGATCTGATTGATCACCTACTAGTGTTAACTGACTGAGTCACGCCAGTGCATCTCAGACGGATGATTGGGCCCAAGCATCCAAGGAATCACAAGGCTGATCACTTATTGATTCCTACACCAAATGACCAATTCTTGTGCTGAGAGACTGGGCCCTCCTGCATTCAAGCTACCATCTGCCCCATTGTCCTTTCTCTGATCTTCTGGTGGAGTGAATCCCTTTACCTTCCACACCAGCCCTGAGAGGGGCTCAGATACCATGGCAGTGAGCATGCTATAACTGCCTAGATAAAGAGAGAGAAAACCACAACCCACCCCATCTACCTAAAGTCATTAGTTAATGGTTATGAGAACAGGAGTCCACAGGATGTTCTTGACTGTGGGTCTCCTACACTACCAGCCCAGCACCCGGTTGGCTGTTGTACTGTCTTTCCCAACCACAGTACCGTGTCATTCGGTGAGTGGATGTACTTAATAGAATGTTAAAGACAGCTTGCATTTAGAAAAGATTAATAGACACTTGAGGGGGGTGAATATTCACAATCCTTGTAGTATGGTAGAGGCTCTGTTGGCCCAGGACACTCTGCTTAACCTTTGTGTTTGCAGCTCACTGGAGACATAGAATTATCCCTAGTGGCTCAAACAGCCTATTGAATGCCAGTAAGGCAGACTTGTTACCCATTAATTGATTGTGTGTGCAGAATGTATAGTGTGCTCCTTTCTATATTGATTAGTGTGATGAGAATGGACTCTTACCTGTGTTATTTCTTGTTTTATTCTCCTGTCTTTACAAGCGAGCAAAGTTAATAAGACAGATTCCACTAGAGAACATTTGCTTGGAGACCGACTCACCCTCTCTTGGCCCAAAGAAAGAGGTACAGTAAGTAAAGTATGTAGCTTACTAGTTTAAATCCTAAATCCTTTCAACCTGCGTTTCAGAAATGAAGTGACTGACTCTTAGGGTTCATGCACTATAATGCATTAGGGGCTCATGCTCCCTAATGCCCTGACTACTAGCCATATGCAAGATGCAAAGAGAGGTCCCAGCTTCTCTTATTTAAAAAAGAAAAGCCAAAAGAAGTTGTCAGGAGAGAAAAATGATTCTTGGTGCACATACTATAGGATTAATTTTTGCTATCTCACTGGGTTTACATTGTTGTCGCTCCATTGACGCACACTAACAAATACACAGTTTAACCTAGAGCTCAAACACCACCCCCAGGCACCTCTGAGATCAAAGGGGCACTGTCATGTGAAATCAGATAATTAAAATAAATGTTTCCTTCTTTCTGTTGTTACCACCACAGGTAATTAACAGTACACATTTTAGAAATGAAATGTGTCATCATTAATGCTCTCTGTGTACATTTGGCACTACATTTAACTTGGAAAATAGACTAGTCAGTTTCTCGTTTTGCCATCTTGTGCTAATGCATGAGAGCCAGTGTTCAGGGTACCAAACTGCACAGGAATGTTTACATCCAAACTAAACCCCCCATTTTAGTTGGAATTTTAAAATTTTTTGTTGAAATCAATATGAAAATGTCTCTTTAATAAATTAGAGCCTGCAAGGGGCTGAACAATGTTTAAACCTTTTGTGTGTCATCAGTCCTTGTTGACTTCAGTGGCAGTTGAGATGTTAGGTACTGAGGGGGGCTTCTTACCAGAAGCATATGACTCCAGGATCTGCACTGGCTGTCCGTTGGTTTCCGGGTGGAGTTTAAGGTGTTGGTTATGACCTATAAAGCCACTAATGGCCTGGGACAGGCCTACTTGAAGGATTGGCTCTCTCCCTGTGCCATACTGCAATAGCTGTGGTTCGCAGGGGCATTCGAGATGGATCTGCCCTCATTATAAAAGAAAGAGCATCTATCTGAGAGCTCCAGGACTCTGGAACTAGCTCCCCTAAATAGTCCAAATTAGGTGACGTTCTGGCCATGCTTCAAAAGACATCGGTTTGATACGGTTTTTGGAGAGGGTTGAGGTTTTGCTTCCTGCAACACTAAAAGGGTGGAAAGGAGTTTCTGAACTCTGGCTGCCTGAGTTCCTGTGCAATGATTTTAATGCTGCTGGGATTTTATTGTAGCATCACTGATGTCAGAGTGCCTCAAGCCTTGGTTAGGTATCATGTTTATTACTTTAAATAAATAAATAACTCCCATGGGGTTTAGTTAGGCACTTGACATCTTGCAGGATCTAGGCTGATATATATAGAACTTCAAAGAATGCAGATTTCTTCCTGCTGATAATCTCCACAGAGAAGTTTCAGGAACTTCAAACTGTTGCTGAATATTTATTCTTTCTCAGCAATAAAGGAAGTAGCATTTCTTGAGCTTGATCCAGCCGTTGTCTTTAAAATGTAATGAAATTCCCATAGAACTATGCTCGTGTCCGATCCAAAACTGCACTGTATCAGGCTGACTCTTCCATCTAACTTATCTAAGTTGCTAACACCATAGAGCCTAGTTGTGGTTTAAAATTTGTAAATGCCAGTGATGACTTTTTTGAAGTAATTAATGGAAGGGAGGGACTCAGTCCTATGGGCCCTGGGTAAGCCAGGCTGATCTCACTTAATTTCTTGTATAGTGTAACCTTGTTGGCAATTCTCTTTTAGGAGAGAAATGAACCAGAGCAGATCAGGATTTCTTGTCAGTACATTGCTGCAGTGAAAGGAGTATCAGTAGAAACAGTCTGTGAAGTAACAACATGTAATGCCCTGAAGCTGTTCCCTAAAGTTCACCAGCGGTTGAAACAATGAACACTTGCCAAACAACAATAAAAAGAGAGCATCTGAAACACAGCTCTGCTCTGTAGTTTGTGGTTTGGGGCTTTATTTTATATTTTTTTTTACAGTGTACATGTACATATTTCATACTATGTATGATATCATCACAGGGGTATATGTGGAATTTTTGTATTACCAAAATGACATCTTAAAGAATAAAAGAAATCTTTGTTTGCCAATTAGTGTTGATAAGAAAATGCAATGGGCCTAATTTCTGACCTCCCATCAGTTTTGTACCAGGCCACATCTACCCTGCAGCTGTACCACTGTAATGTAGATGCTTCCCCTGAGCTGCGGGTGGACCACGGGGTCAATCAGAGGACTGCAGTATTTTTCCAACACATGCCTTTTGGAGGCAGTGCAGTCCAGTGGGTCCGGCAGTGGACTGGGAGGAGAGCTGAGTGCTATTCCCAGTTCTGCCACTGACCAGCTGGGTGACCTGGGGCAAGTCACTTCATGTTTCTGTATCTCCATTTCCCAATTTGTAAAATGGGATAATGATACTTATCTATGGATGACATGTGCTACATATGAATGAAGTAGTTTTAGAGATAACTGGCTGACAACTCCCCCCACCCCCACAGTGATTACCTTGCTCTACACCTTGTGGATCAGACAATTGCCTGGAACCCCCAACACTTGCCCACTCCCCCCGTTCAATGACTTACGCTCTAAACACCCCTCCACAGGAGGTGGGAAGTGATCGGTGACCAGATGAGTAGTGTGGAGGCTGGGCAATCAATGTCCTGATCAGGGAGGGAGTGGGAGGAAGAGGGAGGGCTACATCAGTCAGCAATCTGTTCCCCACCCACCCTTAGTCCAGGATATTGTACAAATTCTCTGGCTCTTCACTACATTTTTGTCACTTTTTTTATAATAAGCATGGCAGAAAACTGATTGTTAGCTAATATGAAATTTCAGGGGTTTTGTTTTAAAGTTATTCTGTTGCCCAAATTTGTTGTTTAAATTTAAAAAAATCACTTAGAGATAGAGGGAGCTAGCTGTCCAATGCATTTTTCCTGTACTATGTGACAGCATCCTGTGCACTGAAAACTGTAACAGGGAGTTGAATGGGGGTAGGGAGAGGGATAGCTCAGTGGTTTGAGCATTGGCCTGCTAAACCCAGGGTTGTGAGTTCAATCCCTGAGGGAGCCATTTAGGGATCTGGGGCAAAATCAGTACTTTGTCCTGCTAGTGAAGGCAGGGGGTTGGATTCAATGACCTTTCAGGGTCCCTTCCATTTCTATGAGATAGGTATATCTCCATATAAACATGCTTTGGAAATTAATTTTAACCTCTAGTGACTGAAATGTACAGCTTAAAATGCACATAAAATAAACTGGAAATCCAATCTGCACAGCACACACACATTATACTTTTTATTCAGTTTAGAAATAAACCGTAGGTTTCATGGTCAAAATTTTACAGTCTTAGACACAGTTCCAGTGAATCAACTTTTGTTCATTTCTGAGTCTTGTCCTGAGGAAGAAAAGTACATTATGTTGTTTTTAAAATGTACTTTAGAGTGTTAGTAATGAGTTTAATTGGGAACTGAGCTACTGTTGAAACAGTTTCTAGCAGTGTTAGATATCCAAACTCATTTTAAAAGCAGCCCTGTAATATCGGGTTTCTCCTTATTTTGTGAAATGTCCTGAGCTCAAACAAGAAGGCAGCTTTTTGGTGCTTCATCCAAAAATGGCATTATCTGCAAGATAAAAGTAAAGTTTGAAAATAGTTATGAAAACCAATTCCTCTCTTAGTAATATATATTTATATTACAGGAGGAGGAGCAGTAGAAGTAGCTGAATGTATAAGGTTGCCGTTTCAGTTGCTTTATAACTCTGACAAACTTGAACTGTTCGGAGTTAAAATGTCAGTGTTTGGTCTTTGATTGAGATTCAGTTGTTGTTTGGGATTTTTTTAAGCTTGAGCAAAAACAGTTCAGTGAAAGATAGGTTGTTTGGAAAAAAATCAAAAATTTAACATTTTAAAACATCTCTAGTACTTGTGGTCTGGAACAGGAACCTGACATTTAGCTGAGGGCTAGTTCTGAGGTTAGAGGTGCCTTTTGCTGTCCCAATGAAAATCCTTTGGAATGTGGCCAACTTATAAGCATTAGGGGAAAAAAGGCTGCTTGAATATATACGCTGGAACTTGTTCAGCTCTTGTCCCTTCAAACTGTGAACACTCCAAATGCACGTCACATGCTCCTAACTCCAACTACGCCTCCTCGCTTGTTCTGAAACAGAGCCTCACCCACACCTGAACCTCCATATGGGACACAGACAAAAGGAACAGGAGGATCCATATGTTCCCCCATCAAAATCCACTTTGTCCTTGGAGAAAGTGCCCTAAACTAAGAACCAGGAGACCGTGAGTTCTAGTCTTCCAGTGTCTGTAGTTGACTAGCGTTAATAAGAACTGCCTGACTAATGAGCAAATGAAAGCAGAATATGTAGTATTGGATAATTTTAATATAAGTGGTGTTATCATTCCACCTATTGCTCCTTATCTGGCAATAGCTACTGGGAATGATTCAGTAAAGGGTGTTACCAGAACTAAAGTAGACATGAGGAATGACTAAAAGAATGTGCCATTGTCTTGTGTTCCACAGATCTTCACTACATCATTTATCTGCTTGCACTCCAACTGCCATGCATTGTTAGCTGTAGCTGTATTGAATGGCAGAAAGATTACTTGGAGCAGGTTGCCAGAGCTGTCACTGTGATATGAGGAGTAGCTTGTACCCTATACATGTACCTTGAAGGATCAAGCATGCATCATTTCAGTGCTGAGTTGTATAGGTTGTATTAGTAGATGTGCACAAAATGTCTGCTTGCCATGGAGATTGTCAGCAGTGTGGTGGCATGCATGACATCAGTGTCTGGGGCTTAGTGAGGGGTAAGCGAAGGCAATGTCTCAGAAGGAATCCTTAGGCAAGGGTGAACCGATAGTAACATTTTGCAAGTCTGGGGTCATCTGTGTGGAGTAGACTTAGTATTTGGGTATAGACCAAGTGTAGGGAACTCCTGTTTGCTAAATGAGACCTAACTTGAGTTTTGCCTTAACAAAAAAGTGTTAGACTCTGTTGTATAGTGCTGTTCCCAAAGCGTTCTCGAGCACCTGTAAGGCTAGAGTGCTAGTGTGTGTGTTACTGGTGTGTTGGGACATGAAGACAGAGGTAAGATTGGGGGTGGGGTTGGTGTGTACCATACCTCATTATTTCCTAGTTTTCAGAGATTTAAGTGTAGGTGCCCTTGATCGTTCTAGAAGGGTATGAGGCACTGTCAGTCAATCTCAACTCTGTGTTAATGAAATATATGGGCAGTGAATAACCAATAGGTTTTGTTCTCTTTCATCCCAGAAAAGGAAAATATTACTTGTGGTGTGATCATTTATGGAACAACACCCATTTCATCCCAAAGAATCTCAAAGCACTTCATAAAGTTACTGTACATAGTGTAGCAGTGAACTAAAATCAGTTCACCAGCCACTGAAATACTTCCACCTTGGGGGTGGCATGAGGCGAGAACACCCACAATATCACCACTGCACGCTGGGGTGTTGTGAAGCTTAGCTCATTCATATTTGTAAAATTCCTTGAGTTCTTGGAAGGTCCTACAGAAGAGCAAAGTATTATACTGTTTACACACACAGGGCCAGATTCCATAGGTGCTGGAAATAGGAGTGCGGGGGTGTGTGTGTGCTGCAGCACCCCCTGGCTTGAAGTGGCTTCCACTGTATATAGCAAGGGTGGCCAACCTGAGCTTGAGAAGGAGCCACAATTTACCAATGTGCATTGCCAAAGAGCCACAGTAACATGTCAGCAGTCCCCCGTCAGTTCCCCACCCCAGTGTCTCCCACCCGCCAGCAGCCTCGCCGATCAGCACCTAACCCTCCATCCCTGTGCCTCCCGCCTGCCGCGATCAGCTGTTTTGTGGTTTGCAGGAGGCTCGGGGGAGAGGGAGGAGGGAGGATGGGGAAGGAGTGGAGTGGGGTCGGGGCCTGGGGCAGAGCCAGGGGTTGAGAAGTGAACACCCTGTAGCACATTGGAAAGTTGGCGCCTGTAGCTCCAGCCCCGGAGTCAGCGCCTATGCAAGGAGCCGCATGTGGCTCCGGAGCCACAGGTTGGCCACCCCTGGTATACAGGGTTTACAGTTTGGTCCAATGGCTCTCAGCACCCCCACTATACAAATTGTTCCAGCCCCCCTGACAGATTCTGGTCTGTCTGACTGACACCCATGCAAGCTGAGGCAGAATTTAGCCCAAAGACGGTAAGCAGCTTTGCTTTTTCAAAAACACAGCTTGAATTTAAACTTGGTATACAAATCTTCTACCTGTGGCTTAGGGTGACCAGACAACAAGTGTGAAAAATCAGGATGGGGGCGGGGGAAATAGGTGCCTGTATAAGACAAAGCCCCGAATATTGGACTGTCCCCATAAAATCAGGACATCTGGCCACCCTACTATGGCCTTTAAAAAAAAAAAAAAAACCCAATGAAGTGCTGTGGAATTCCAGGGGCTTATGATTTCCTATGAATAAAACTATGTAATAAAGTTTCTCATTGGATAACAGCCTCCTGCTCTGAAATAAACTTCTTGGGCCTGATTCTTATCTCAGGCTGATGTAAATAAGAAGTAACTCCATTTCAGTCAGTGTAATTATACAGGTTGAACCTCTCTAGTCCAGCACCCTCAGTACCCGGTGGGTGCCGAACCAGAGAATTTGCCAAACCATGGGTGGTCAATGCAGAGTGCCAGCGGGTCTCCATAGGCACAGGAAGTAGGGGTGCGGGGGGTGCTGCAGCACCCCCAGGCTTTGCGCCCAGCGTGGCCCCCTGCCCGGGGGTGCCGATGCTGGCCCCAGGTCCCAGCCACCGGTCCCTCGCCCAGGGTCCCAGCCGCCGGTCCCAGGTCCTCCCCCTACCTCCTGGAGCTTGAACGGTGTGAATCAGCTGTTTGTGGTGCTCTGGAAGTGCTGGGAGGGAGGAGGAGGAGTTTGTAAGCATGGGGCTGCCGGCACGCAAGAGGTGCCGGGGGGAGCTTGGCGCCGGTGGGTGCTCTGCACCCACTAATTTTTCCCCGTGGGTGCCCCAGCCCTGGAACACCCACAGAGTTGGCGCCTATGCCGGACCAAGAATGTTGTTGGATCAGGGAGTGCCGGATTACAGAGGTACCAGTGTGGCAGCTGAAGACATTTATCCTGTAACCTCATATTCCATTTGTCATAGTGGGCCAAATTAATCTCCGGTCTAAATTCACTGAGGTCAAGGAAGCTACACCAGGGATGAATTTGGCCCCAGGTGTTTCTTCTCTGTAATGCATATAACTTACTTCTTTCTGGAAAGTGCCTCCTCTCCTTGTGGTGAAGAGGAGTGAGTGCTGTCCAGGAGCTCCTGCCAGTGTCAAGCTCAGGCTCTTTTTCTCTGTAGGTCTCTAGTGAACTTCGATTACTTTGAGGGAAGTGTCTCCTCTGAGGTCTGAGCCAGGTTGAGTCACTTTTTCCTTCCACCATACACAAGGATTCCCTTGTCATGTTCAGTTCAATCAGGCGCTTTTTCTCTGCGTCACCCATTGTATCTAGGTGAGTGTCTTTCTTATAAGCAGAATTCCTAGTAAAAAAGCAAACAAATCCTCATGTAAACAGAGTATTTGGCTCTGTCTGCTTGCCATGGAAGTGAAACTTAAGATGTGTCCACAGTGACAAACAGCCTGATTCTGACTTTGCTTTGCTGGTGTAAATCAGGAGTAACTCTGAAGTCAGTGGAGTAACAATGGGGAAAAGCCAATCAGAGCAGAATCAGGTCTCGTATTTTCTTGAGCTTTAAAGATTGTGTCCTCGGATTAACATAGGGGACTCCCCAAACTTCAATGAGAACCACCCACACAAATTCAAGGGCGGAATTTGGCTAAATCAGATTAAAATATGTGAGTAAAATTTTCATGAGTTTAAGTGATTTAGGAGCCTATGGCTTGGCCTATGCTTAAAAGTTTTGCTGGCATAGCTATGTCTGTTACTAGTGTGGTAAAAAATCATACCCTGACAGACATTGCTATGCCACCAAAAGCCCTACTGCAGATGCAGTTATACCAGTAAAACTGTCTATTTGCCAGTATAGTTTACATTATTCAGGAAACTGGTATAAGCTGTATTGGCAAAAGCATGCTTTTGGCTATATAAGCTACGTCTCCACTAGAAGCATTTGCTGTTATAGCTTGCAAGTGAAGACAAGACCTAAGGCCTTCTATCAGTATATGCTGCATCTACACTAGGAGGCTATGTTGGCATAGCTATACTGACATAGACTCTGTAGTGTAGATATCGCCTATGAGTGCTTTGCTGATGAAGGTATACTAGTATGGTATACCAGCAAAGCACTCCCAATGTGGATGTAGCTTATACTGGCAAAAGTGTCTTTGATTTGAAAATGGGGCTTACATTCCTAAGTCACTTAGGTACATTTGAAACATTTACCCTGTATCTGTTTTTTACAAATCAAAATAGAAATAAACTATTCAACTACAGATTTTCTTATGAACAAAAAAAAAAAAAAAAAAAAAAAATAAAAATACAGATTTTAAAAAAAAAAAAAAAAAAAAAAAATCCAAGGTGCCTGATTCTAATCTAATTTACACAGGAGTAATTCAAGAAGATCTTCACTGAAGTCAGTGGAGTTAGACTGGTGTAAAACCAGAGTGAGTTTAGAATCAATCCTTAGAAGTCTAATAACATATTAATTAACAATACTTTGAAATCTTCAGATGGAGTCTCATAAATACAAAAAAGTCAATTGAAACTGCAGGGAAAACTTAGGCAGAATATAGTTCCTAGAGCTGGACAAATTATTAGTTTTGAATCATTTATTTAGTTAATTTTGCCTCTTCTGAATTGTTGGTGAGCAGCTTAATCCTTGAATAAATTTGAGAACAGCTTAACATTAAAAAATTCTTGGCTTGTAGCTTATTAACAAACAACTTGTACTTTATATTCAAAAATATTTAAGAATTGATTGGACACGTAGGTCACATGGTATTTTTTCTGCTCCATGATTGGATGAACATAATCTTTAAAGGTTTCTGATGCATATCTGTGTTCTATGAATTCATAATTCCCTTCCTCTGGATAGTCTCCAATATTCACTAAAAAGTCCTGGACTCAGCAAACATCCATGCCAGAACTTGTTTGCTAGAGTATTTTGGAAAAGCAAATGTAGCCAGAGAGTTAAAAAATTTTAATGCAGTATATATTCATAGAATTATTCTAGCTGTAATAATTACCTACATTTAAATAGTGCCAAAAAACCAAGGCTCAAATCCTTGATCTTGTCAAAACTGCCAGTGCATAAAATGTGAGAACTTAAAGGACATTTGTTGCAAAGAACATAGTTTCTTATCTAAAACAGAATGTTACTATTAGACCCATCTAAAAAGCTCAGAGGTAGCTTACAGAATATTATTTGATTAAATTCCTTCTGAGATCTTTCCAAAAAGCTGATCTAAAATTTCTAACATTACTCAAGCCTGGCTTAAAAAAAAATCTATCTTTCCCCTAAAAAAACAACAAGGAGTCTGGTGGCACCTTAAAGACTAACAGATTTATTTGGGCGAAAGCTTATGCCCAAATAAATCTGTTAGTCTTTAAGGTGCCACCAGACTCCTTGTTGTTTTTGTAGATACAGACTAACACGGCTACCCCCTGATACTTGATATCTTTCCCCTAAACTCCTTGGGGGTAGGGTCTGTTTTTTAAATCTGTGTTTGTATAGTGCCTACTTCACTGGGATCCTGGTCCAGGACTGGGGCTCCTAGGTGCTAACACAATACAAATAAATAATAATAGGGGGGCTGGAAGTGAAAGTCTCTTACAAGAAAAATATCTTAACAATATAAAAACACTACACACCTGAGCCTCAGCAGTGCTGTATTTTCTGGGGAGGGGGATCTATGTATGTGATGCCCAAGCCAAATTTCAGTGGTAGAGAGAAAAAACAAAGGAATGTTTGAACAAGGACTTTGGAACAAGGGGCAGTTGGTGAAGATCCATATTGCCTAGCAACTGACAATTCAACTGGTCATGGTTCCATCACCACTGCTGTCTCCCACCTATGCCTTAAATTACCAGGTAGGACCAGCTTTTCTCACTTCTGCATGGCAGCTACAATGAGCCAAATCCTGTAACTCCAATAGAGGCCAGTGAATTTCACTACACTGAGCCACAGCTAGGATACAGGTAGGCAGCATTGGAGTCCATGCACCTTGCATAATCCAATGATGTGCTATGTGGGGGAATGCACAGCACGGAGGAGTGATGGGGTCAGAAGGTCAGTGAGTACAGATCCAAGAACCACACCCTACTGGCACGGGTAGCTGCAGCCAAGAGCATTAGTATAGCACTGAGGATGCAGTGCTATTTCTGCTGAGGTTATGTGGGGGTTGTAGGTGACATTCCCCAGACTTTTGTCCATCACCCCCCATGCACAGCCCATATAGGCCCTGTTTAGACCAGGAAAAAAGGAGTGTTTTTTTAAAACATTAGCTAACATGTTTGAATTAACACTTTTTAAAACACCACTTATCATCTAATAGACAGGAATTAACAACTTTACAAATGTTTAAACACTGGGTGTTCAATATGAGGATTCTCCCTAGAAACTCTCTTTCCTAGGCTAGACATGCCCATGGAGGATTCTCTGAAGAACCAGCAGCAGGGACTGGAGCAAACGATGTCTCTAGAACTTCCCATCACAGTTCCAGCAGGATGGCCAGGGCATTCTCTGGCTACATTGTCACTTTTTCTGTGTCACTAGCAGGGCAGATGGCTCTCCCTGTTCAAGAGAGTTCTTTGGAAGGTGGAGAAGTTGACTTCTTTCCCCCTTCCTCCTGTGCTCTATCTCCAGGTGTAGGTCAGGAGCCCTGTGACAAGGCTGCTGAAGCATTGTCAATGATGGACATAAACTGAATATCCAGCCCGTTTACCTTAAGGAGTAAGCTAGAGATCAATATGGGTGCACTCGATCCGCAAGGAGGCTGCATCCCTTTGGGATTTGCCATGATGTGTGGTTGGCTTAGAGTGACCAGATAGAAAGTGTGAAAAATCGGGATGGGGGTAGGGGGTAATCATTGCCTGTTTACCATCTTTGCTGATCACGGATCCAAATTTTTGGATCCGTGTAGGGCTCTAACAGTGAGATTATGAGATAGGGTGCTGGTGCGAATACATATAAAAAGTGGGTCACAACTTTTAGTTACACACAAGTTAATTATCTCAGATGCGGATCCATTTTTTTTTTTATCTGCGCTGGGCTCTACACATACCTGGGAGGGATATAGATTGTAATGCACATCAACATGTTGTGCACTAACTGATCCATGCGGACCCTGCTGGTGCACACTGAAAGTTCTGTGGTGTGCATTAATGTAATCCTGTTTCAAACAGTACTATGTTAACATGCAGTAGGGAACTTTCAGTGCATGCCAGCAGGGTCCACATGGGCTAGTACACATTGGAGTTTACAACCTAATTAGTGTGGCACCATGTAGACGAGCCCTGACTCTTGGTTTTTGAATGCTTGGGATTAGCAATACTAGTGTGAGGGAATGGGACTGTCTCCTCTTGCAGGGAAGGGTGCTATAAGATAACAGGAGTGGTTCCTTGCTTTTTGGACTCTGGCTCTGCGTCTTGGGGAGATTATTTTGCAGAACTATCCTACATCTCTCTAGCTGTGCTCTGGCTCAGTGTATAGAGCAGAGGTGGGCAAACTACGGCCCGCGGGACCCTCCTGCCTGGCCCCTGAGCTCCTGGCCCAGGAGGCTAGCCCCCACCCCCTCCCCTGCTGTTTCCCCTCCCCTGCAGCCTCAGCTCACTGCGCCGCCAGCGCAATGCTCTGGGCAGCGGGGCTGTGAGCTCCTGGGGCAGCGCAGCTGCAGAGCCCAGCCTGACCAGGGGGCAGTCAGGGGCAGGGGTTCCGGGTGCAGTCAGGGGACAGGGAGAAGGGGTGGTTGGATGGGGCGGGGTCCTGGGGGGGCAGTCAGGAATGAGAGGAGGGGTTGGATGGGATGGTGGGGGGCAGTCAGGGGTGGGGGTTCCAGGGACAGGGAGCGGGGGGGTGGATGGGGCAGGAGTCCCAGAGGGGGGCATCAGGGAACAGGAGGAGAAGGGCAGGAGTCCGGGGGGGGCATCAAGGGGTGAGAAATGGGGGGGGGGGCAGGGGCTGGGCCACGCCTTGCTGTTTGAGGAGACACAGCCTCCCTTAACCGGCCCTCCATACAATTTCCGAAACCTGATGCGGCCCTCAGGCCAAAAAGTTTGCCCACCCCTGGTATAGAGGGAATGCCTTCTCTCATTTTTGGGGCTCTAGTTCCCCAAAGGGAGCAATAGGGCAGAGGGGTAGAACCTGAACCTGTCTCCCTGATGGGAGAGGGTTCCTGCAGGGGCAAAAAGGTTGGATCCTCTCCATTACTACTGGGATCTTCCTTGATGAGGCAGGGAGGTTGAAAAAGCATGTGGGCCAGACTTTCTTCACTCCTAGTCAGGCAGGATATACACTACAGTCAATGGCTACCCTTGCTGAAGCG